ACTCCAGCTCTGCTGTGCTGCCCATAGTCCCTTTCTCTGCCTAACTCTCCACCCCCGAGAAGATGGGGCCTGGCCCCTCTTGTCTTCCCTACATCTTCCCTCCTTCCCTATCTTCTGGGATCACCAGGAGGTGGGGGGCTCGAGGGAGGCTGTTTCACTGCTCATCTAGGACTCTGGGCCCCCCTCAGCTACTGAGCCCATGGGAGCTGGAGGGAGGGAGTGGGGGCTCATGTCCATTCCAGGTCTGGACTCAGGACAGGAGCTGGGTCTCCAGAAAGACTAGAAGGCAAGTGGGGTGGAGGGCCGGGGTGTCACTGCTCACTGTTTCCTCCCCTGACCTCTCTTTCTCTCCTTCTAGGACCTGGGTCTCCAGATCTGAGACCTAAAAACAAGATCTGCCCAACCCACACCCGTCCTAGATTCCACATTTCCTGGGTGCCGTCACTCTAAGTTGCATTGATGAGCTACTGCCCTATAGGACATGAGGTGGCCGATGATAGTCCTGGTGCCAGAGGGTCAGGAGCAGTGTTTTCGGGGCAGACGCAAAGCAGCCACTGCGTCAGGCCCACCCGTAATGCCGTGACTTCCACATCATGACCTCGGAGCCCCTCAGCCCAGTGAGAGTTATCTCTGAGTTATCTGCATGTCCTGGCCCCTTCCCTGCCTAAGGAGCTCCTCAAAGTGGGCCGCGTGTCCCCCACTGTGGCCTTCCTGAGCCTCTCCACCCTGCACCCAGCACGGACTGGCCACAGCAGAGCTTGACAAACGGAGGTCCTGAGTTTGGGCTGGGGTGGGGGCTGTCCCTGGAGCCTGGTGGCCAGCTCGCAAGCTGGCAGGGAAGATGCCAGCTCCACCTGGAAGCCGCTCCCTGCTCCCGCTTCTCTCGGCGTTTCCGGGGCCTTCCTATGTGGGGCGGGGAGCCCTGGCATCCCCAGCTGCTCTCCCTCCTCCCAGGTGAAAGAGGAGGGGGGGGAAGAAGCCGTATTAATAAAAGAAGAGGGTACTGCGACGGACTCCGCAGCGTGTGCAGCTCAGAATAGCAATGTGCTTTCTCAAGGCAAACAGAACTCCCCAGGTGTTAATGCAAATTCACTCCAGTTAAGATGAAAGAGAGTTGTTTCCCCTTTGCTGGCTAATATGAAGGACTTAATAGATTCAGCCTCCGGAACTATGGCTGGGAGGGGAAGGCTGGGGGAGGGATCTGGAGTGGGCAATAAAGGGAGGTCCCCGTGGGTTTTAGAGCAGAGCCACTGTCACAGCAGGCCTGGCCCATGGTGCAGCACGTCACCCCATCCTCTACCTGGGCTGACAGGAGCTGGGCCCCCTGCTCGGGAGGAGGGAGCAGGAAGCACACAGTGGCGATGCCAACTGGCTGCCCTGTTGCCCACTGCCCTTCACATTAACTCAGGGCTGGCACCACAACTGCCACTCCCCAATTTGTGCCAGAGGCGTGTGGGGCTAGAAGAAGGGGTGGGATGAGGCTGGCTGTCCAGGGAGGGCACCTGGTTCTAGTCCAGCTTGTGTCTGTGGCCGCCCCTGTGGGATGCTGGGTCAGTCAGTCCCCTTTCGGCTCCCTGGACCGTGACACTGGTTTGACAGCACCTGGGAGACCAGCCTGAGGAATTCCTTCAGAAACATGACATTCGAAGACTGTTGGAACAGGAAGGGGCCTCAGAGTCCCTCTGGTCCAACCCGACTCTTTACAGCAGAGGACATGGAAGCCCAGAGAGTGGAGGGGACTTACTCAAGGCCATACGGCTGGAAGTGGAGGGAGAGCTGGAGGGGCCAGAGCCCACGCCCTGCTCTCCTGAGTGATGGTGGGACACAGTCCGGGTGGCTCCGCCAGCCTCTGAACCCCTTCCTCCCACCGGGAGCCCTTCTCCAGCCCAGGGCCCCGGGCTCAGCAGCTGATCCCAGAACTATCTTCCACTGAAAATTACACAGGGCGCAAGCCGGGCGGTTGTTGGGGAGGGTGGGCTGCGGCAGGTGTGTGCCGGGCGCCCAGGAAGATGTCTCAGGCCTCGGCTGGGAAAAGGGAGACTTCAGGGAAATCCAGGGGGAGGGGGAGTGAGAGTGAGGCTTTCCCACTGGACCACTTCGCTTGTCTGAAGTTAACTCCTCTCTCAGGGCAAGTGGCACAGCAGGTGCCCTCAAGGAGCCACCCCCGCAGCCCTCTTCACTTTTGTTTACTGACTTAATTCCTTCAGATCGGAGGCTGCCCCTTCTCCCTAGCAGGCAGGCTGGGGAATTACATTATTTATATTGGAAATGGGCACGACTCCAAGGGGACTTCTTCCTTATGCCTGTTAAGAGAAAAGTAGGTCACTGCTGGGCCTCCCTGGCATCTTCGGTTGGGTTTTTACAGCCCAGGTACCCACGGGCTCTGGGAAGAGCTCCAGGTGCAGAGCCTAGCGCTGCCCACCTAGCCCCTCTGCCACCCTGAGCCTCCAGTAAATTATTGACTGGAGCAGCAAGTATTAATGTGACAAACCAGAACATCCTTTCCAGGCGGCTCTAGCCTGGGTTATCTATCATCTCCCGGGCTTTGCAGCTGGCACTGGGCAAACACAGCGACGACAAACAGGCCAGATGCAGGTTCATTAAGCTCCTGGTGCAGGTGGAGGGATGGGGCCCGTGTGGGGGCCGCTGGTGGGCTTGGTCCCTCTGAGTCAGGGCTTCCTCTGGGTCACCACTGCTCTTTTCTCTGCTTCCTCCTGCAACCCACCCCCACCCCGAGGAAGCATCTGGAAAAAGAGCCACCCTCCTCAGACCCAGCATTATTAATCCCCACAAAACCCTATACAATTTCCCATTTAGGTGAAGATATTGCTGTGCCCAAAACTTAGGTAACTTGCCCGGGATCACCAGGCTGGCAAGGGGCTGAGCAGGGCTTTGACCCCAGGTCTTTCTGAGTTCCAAGCCAGGAAGGGCCCTGAGCCCTCGGCCGCGTGGTTTCCTCAGCCCTCCCCATGGCTGGGTGCAAAGAAAGGATGTCGCGTCTCTCCGTGCGCGCTGCTTCCATTACTTGTAAATAATGGTAATACTGCTCCCTACCCTCACCCGTTTTTTCATAGAAATCGGAGTGCTTTTTGCATCTGTTCTTCATGTTATCCTGACAAGGTCCCAGAGGCATCACTGTCAACTCTCTTTACAGAGAGGGAAACAGGTTTTGGGAAGCAAAGCGTCCAGCCCTGCAGGGAAGGGGCACGGAGCAGGCGTGCGGCCTAGTGGACGGCCGGGCGGCTCTGGCTGCTCCGACTGTGGAGCTCGTCAGGAGACGTCTTGATTTCCTAGGCTCTGAGGCAACGTGCCAGGAGCTATTCTGGGGCCAGCATCCCAGTGAGAAATGGGCATCTAGTGGAAACCGGGAGAAGACACAGTGGGGGTTCCTCTGAGTCAGTCCTCGTGGTGCTGATGAATGGCCCCGAGCTGCCTCCCTGTAAACGAGCTCCGACTCCTACCCGAGCCGGGCCCGAGGACGCAGCATCCTGCCATAATGCAGCAATGACAGGCTGCCAGGGAGCCCCGGGAGGGGACAAGAGCCCGTGGTGGCCTCTCTCGGCTGCCTGGGCTGTCTGCGAGGGAGACGGAGAATATGCGGATGGCTCGACTTTCCCTTCCCCAGACGTGCAAGAAATTGGATTAGACACGGTTGCAGCAATCTTCTCACCAATACCTTTCTCCCCAGGGTCCCGCTGCCAACTCATCGTTACCCGTGGGTGGCTCCCTATCCAATCCTCCAAAGCGAAAGCTCTCGGGGTGGGCAGCCCTGGGGACAGCTGCCAGGCACTCAGCTTCGGTCCCTGCGAGGACTGAAGGCAAAGAATCAAGCGCT